AAAAAAAAAAAAAAAATCTAGATGTAGTCCTAGCTACTCAAGAAGCTGAGGAGGAAGGATTGCCTGAATTGAGAAAGTCAAGGGTGCAGTGAGCCATGATTGTGCCACTGCACTCCAGCCTGGGCGACAGTGAGACCCTGACGCAAAAAAAAAAAAAAAAAAAGATCACACTGAAAGCTCCCTCTCTCGCAGCAAGATGCAGTGGAAAGAACAGGCTGGAACCATTTACTGCCCAAAGACCAGGTCTGAGCGAGCCTCTTACCAGCCATCCCATCTTGAAAATACGCCTTCTCTTCCCCAAGCCTCCTTTCCTCATCTGCCAAGGGGGGTCCCAAACAGCCCTGGTTTCATCCAGCGGTTATAAGGACACATTGTGAGGATCAAGCAGGGGGGAGGGAGGGAGGGAGGGAAGGACTGGCTGGGGGGAGCCCGAGCACCCCACCCTGCCCTGCCCACACTCACGCGTTGCAGTAGGGCTTCTTCTCGTAACCTTTGTAGTTCTTCATGTTCAGCGTCATCTTGCAGGTCTCGCAGTGGAAGCATGCTTTATGCCAGAACTGGGGAGAGATAGAGGGGGACACCCATCAGACACCAGGACTTCAGGGGCTCAGGCCTAGAGAGGGACTGTCCTAGGCCCACGGCTGTGGGTGGGGGTATGGAGTCAACCCAGGTGAGCCAGGGCATCTCAGGTCAGGACTCTGGCAGTGATTGATCACGATCCTCCCCTTCCCTCTCTTCCACCAACTCCCAAGCAGCCCTTTTAGCTGTCAGAAGGAGCAGAAGGATGATGGGAAGAGCCCAGTTAAGGAGGTGGCGCTGCAGTGGCGCCCAGGTCAGCCCCAGCTCCCAGACGGCTCCGGGAGTGGTTCATTGCTCATGCAAAGCTGTGGCGGGTTGCTAAGAAGCTGAATATGAAGGAGCAGCTAGCTCCTCTCGCCGCCACGAAGGCCCAGCCCCCACGCACATAGGCCCAGATCCAGGGCCTCTGCTCCTGCGCCAGGACCTCCCAAGACACACACACAGGCCACCTGGGAACCCCGGGTGATACCTCCCACCTCCCATGGAACCCTCGGCCAGAGGAGTGGGGTGCGTGGGTGGGGTGAGTGGCCTCTGCCACCACACCCATACCCTTCCCACCCTCCCCTCCTCTTTCTCCCACCCCAGCAGGAGGGCGCCCAGCCACGGGTCTCCATGGAAGAGCTCTGCCTCAAAGCCTTGGAGGTGACCTCCAAAGTGGACATCAGAGCTCTGCCCAACACGCCGGATGACCATGGGATCTGGCGTCCGTGTCTGCGGGATGGATATAGCAACACCTGGCTCTCCGGGACTGCTAAAGATTCTTGACCTTCATCTGCAAGACCCTCGGCACACGGGGCCACCTGTGAGCCCTCCAGCGCTGGGTGCTGGGCACGCCAGGCATGACCCTCGGCAGAGGGGCTCGGTGCCCACACGCAAGGCTGTGCGTGTTGGAGTGCAGATGGGGCTTTGTGGTAACCCGCCACAGTTCCTATGTGCGTGAGAATGAGAGACTCCAGCCAGGCCCAGGAACCAGCATCCATCCAGGGTGGCCGAGGGGGGGACAGAGCAGAAGGTGCTGAGGGAAGGAGAAACGAGGACACAGGAGCGGCCCCACCCCTGAGAAGGCTCGATGTGCATGCCAACCCACGCACATGTGACCTAAATCCACCCCCAGCAGCCCAGGATGAATGAGCCCCGGGATCAGCACGAGTGGACCCCAGAATCCAGGCTGCCCCAGTGACCTGGCTGGCCTGTCCCTGCCCCATTTCCCGGCAGTCAAGGGAGACGCTCCCGACCTCCAGGGGAGGCTGGGTGGAGCCCAGGGAACCCAGCCACAGGACTGGTTCTTGGCCATCTGTGTGAAGGAAGTCCCCCGAGGTGGTGTTTTTCCAAATGCGGTTCCCAAACCTAGAGGTGCTGCGAGTCTGCAGGGGGGGGCAGGGAACACAGCAGAAAGAGCGGAGAATCCACGATTTAACCTGCCCCCCTATGGCCCACTTCAACCAGAGACCCCCCAGGGTAATATCAGGGGGACATCGCTTCTAATAGGGTCTTCCCCTTTCAAAGAGACACAGAGGAAAAACCTAACGGTGGAGTATTGAAGTGAGGGGAGATCCGCTCTTTGGGAAGAAGGCCAGCTGGAAGTCTGGAAGCAGAGGGGCAGTGGGTCTAAGCTTGGCTCCCTCCCAGCCCGGGCCCATCCCAGACCCTCCAGCAACTTCCAGACTCCTCCTGGTGCATACCCCCATCCCAGACAACCCCCCAGAACACTAGAGCAGGGTGGTCCCTGCCTATTCCCCCCCCCCGGAGGCGCTGGCAGAGTGCCCCAGCCTTGTCACCGGCTTACCCTTGTCTGCCGGCTTACCCTTGTCTGCCTGCTTACCCGCACACGCCCCCACCAGGGCCCTGGCCTCCCCCACCCCCTCAGGGGCTTGCCAGGAAAAACATTCTCCGGAATCCAGACCATGACCCAGTTTCACACACACATACGCAGGGACACACACTGTCCTAGGGTGGGCTGCCTCCTGATTGACGTGGGGGAGCAAAAGGGAGAGAGCCAGACACCCCTACTCCAGCAAATGGGTAGGCTCCCACCCTAGGGCCAAGGCCCTTGGGGAAGGGGGCAGAGTGTGGCCAGGCTGGGACACAGGGCCACACCTATCAGGGGCTCACAAGACCCCCTGACGGCCTCTTGGAGGAGGGGAAGGCCCTCTAAAAGGGGAAGGTACAAGGGTACCTGCATAATCAACGTTTGCATACCTAACCTTGAATTGTACCTCACATCTTTATAATAAAAAATAAATGAGTAATAAAAAATAATAATTACAAAAACAAAAGGGGACGGTGCCCACTTCCATCACTGGCTCCTGCCCCCCTCACCCCAGAGACCCATGCTCTCAGCCAGACACATTAGAGGCTGGGATGGGGGAGGTTGGTCACCCACAGGGGCTTGGGGCAGATGAGGGAAAACAGCCTCTGAGCTCAGTCTCTGCATCCGTAGAATGGAGATGAAATCTCAGATTGGCAGGGGTGCCGGGAAGGGGCAAGAGATGCGTGGGCTCCACGTCTAATGTCAGTCACTCTAGCTTTGTGCCACCCACCCCCTCTCTGGAAGAGGGCTCCAGGGTTCAAGAACACCCAGCAGCTCCTGCCTGCCACTGTGTGCTTTTCAGAGTAGGAATGTTGAGGGAATGTTGGAATGTTGGAGGGGAGGCAGTCCCTCCACTGCCCCTGTGCACCAGGCCTGGGTGGGGTGGCAGGACCCCAAGCTGAAAGGAACCCCGTCGTGTTCCAGAGGGGTCTGGTAGAGGCCACTGTCCAAGAAGCAAGTCGAAACAATCCCACAGGGACTCTATGTCTGCCTCCTTGCCCCGTCCCAAGAGACCATCCCAGAGGGGTCAGGTAAGATTATTTCAGAGCCGGGCTCGGTGGCTCAGCCTGTAATCCTGCACCTTGGGAGGCTGAAGTGAGTGGATTGCCTGAGCCGGTGGGTTCGAGACCCGCCTGGGCA